GCCCCCAAGACACCATTTTTAGTCCAGAGGATCAAGGCCAGTAATGGCTCTGCTGGGTCATGACTTTGAAGTGACACAGACCAGAGTGTATGATCTATCTTATTAAGAAGATACTTAGCTGACTGGGTGAGAGGGATCCTTGAGGTTGGTGAATTATGGCCTTCCAGCAGGGAGAACAAGGCCCAGAATTCCAAGTCAGGGACTGGTATAAATTGTTTGAGCCAGTTTATAGTCCCACAGAGTTCTTGGAGCTCCATCAAGGTATATACAGTTTTTTTGCAAGATGGAAGGGTTAAGTGGTTTAATGACAGTATCTATATGGTAGCCAAGGAATGTGAAAGGTTGGATGTATTGTAACTTGTCTCATGCAATGTGGAGACCTAGACATTCTAAATCGTCAAGCACACTGGGTATTGCAGCCTGTAAAGTATTGTGACATTTGTGTGCTAGCAGTATGTCATCCATATAGTGGATGACAATTAGGTCCTTGGGGCTGTTGGTTACCGCCTTATTAACCTATAATTGACAGCTTGTGGGGCTATTTCTCATACCCTGTGGTAGTACCTTCCATTGGTATATCTTGGCTGTTCTTTGAAAGTTGGGCTCCCATACTATGAAGGCAAAGTGAGGTCTATCTTGTTCTGCTGCAGGAATTTGGAAGAAATAATCTTGGATATCAAATACTATGATATGCTGGGATGGGGGGATAGCTGTAGGGTGTGGTAAGCCTGCTTGTAGCGAGCCCATCTTTTCCATCTGGGCATTGACTGCTGTAAGATCTTGGAGGAGTCTGTATTTCCCCGGTATTTTGTTTACTGAGAGAGGGCTCGATGTGGCCAAGCCTCAATTGTTTAGCTACCAAATTTTTGAGGGCAGATCATTTAGGTTCTATTATTGGCCACTGGTCCACCCAAATGGCATCATTAGAGAGCCAGGCGATGGGGCCAAGATTGGAGTCAATCCCGGGCAGGCAGTGGCCATTAGGATTGGGGGTGTTGGGCAGGGTGTTGACCTTTCCCTGTTAGTCCCAAGTTATCGTGGAGCATGATATCATCATAAAAGGCATAGTCATCCATGGTAAGGACCGCGCCCATGTCCTCTAGGACGTCTCGACCCCATAAGTTATGGGGAATGTCCGCTACTATGGGGGTAATTGTGCCCTGGTTCCCATCCAAGTCCTTCCAATATACTGGACGTGTGACCAGCTTGGTATCTTGTTTTCCACCAACTCCTTTTATTGGTGGGCCTCCTGGTATTTCCAATGAGGGAATTTAAGGGATTCAGTTTCTGATATAATGGTGACATCAGTGCCTGTGTCTACTAGGCCCTTTATGGCAGTTCCATCTAGGAACAGGGTCATTAGTGGGGAGTGGTTGAGGATTGGGAGAGTCCATAATATCTGTCTCGTTTCCCCTCTTATGGGTGGGGCTGAGGGGCACCCCGGGTGGAGTTTAAAGGAGCCGAGTCCAGTTGAGGCTATGACCTACAGTCTTTAGCCCAATGGAACCCTCTTTTGCACTTGGGGCAGCGAGTCTTGGGGCGGGCTGTACCTCTTGGGTAGTGGCTATGAAAGTGGCCAAGCCCCCCACAGTTCCAGCAGCCTTCCCATGCGCCAAAGTGGGCAGGTTTTCCTTGAGACAAAAGAGTCTCCAAGGAGGCAGTCAAAGCCTCAATAGGGCTCACCCTAGGGTCTAAGTCTCTAGTAGCAAGTACCCATTTGTGAATGTTATCATTGCAGACAGGCAGATAGTAGGGATGTTTAGTCCCTCCCAAGTTAACTGTTTGATAAGCACCTCTTGGGTGGGTCCAGACTCCACCCTCCGCTCTACTGCCTTGGTGATGGGTGACACGGGTAAGGAAGTCCGTGAAGGACTCCCCTGACTGTTTAATCAAAAAAAGACTTGTGGGTCACAGGGGGAGCAACATTTAAGGGCCTTAAAGGCCGAGTTGGAAACTTGTTGAAAATAGGCATGGAGGCCAATAGTAGCCTGGGAGATGGGGTCAGTATATTGTCCACGTTCCATGAGCATGTCCAACGTAATGTTGAGGCCATATTGGAGATTTAGGCATGCCTGGTTTTCAGCCTGATCATCATAGGCTGCAGGCCAGTTTAGAAAGACTGAGGGTTCTAAGACTGCCTTTAGTAAGTTATACCAATCATAGTGGGTTTGTAAATGTAAGGACCACTGGTGAAGAACCTGCTCGAAATATGGGGAGTCAGGGCCCGATTGCTTAGCTGCCTTGCGGATAAGAACGAGGTCAGCAAGTGGGGTGGGCAGCCATGGACGCTGCGCTGCATCGGGGCTGATGTTAACCGGAAATGTGGACAAAGGCGGGTGAGGCTTTAAGGAGGGCAGTCTAGGAGGGAGGGGCACGTTAGCAGGGGAAGGGGCAGATGGTTACTGGGGGAGAGAGAGTAACTCCTTCCATGGGTAATGGGGTGGGGGAATTTGTGGGCATGGTAGCTCTAGGAGAGTATCCTGAGATATAGGCAAAGGAGCTCCTTCCTTATTGGAAGTGGGCGCAGAGGCGGCATCCACCTCTGGGTCCGGGAGGTCTGGGCGAGATAATAGCCAGATCTACACTAGATTGCTCCTGGCAGTGTTTGTTGTGGGCCAAGATGACTTCCTCAAGAGAGGAGGATTTAAGGCTAGCAATGATGGCTAGGAGGATCGGTACGAACAATGTGGGGGGGGGAGTGATCCCTGACCCAACCTCCCTTTTTTAGGCCAGGAAGAGGACCTGCATCCATGTGTCAGGGTCCCACATGTTTTCAGGGGAACCCAGGGAGCCAAATTAGTGGCTTCATCCCAAAAGTGTTCACTATCTTTTGGTTTCACTTTCAACCCTCTGGTTTTAAGAAGCACCTTGAGTGCTGCCATTTGTGGTTCCCTGCATTGTGGTGGCAAATTGCCCATTGTGGGAGGGTCTCACAAAGGGGAATCCACCACAAAAGTAGAAGATGAGGGTGACTACCAAGCAGGCACAAAGGAAGCAAAGAAGCACTGTGAGCCACTTGGATGTAAACCGCCCTGATATGTAAAGGTGTATCGGATCCAAATGTCTTGTGCTCAGTGAGGGACTTCTGGAGGCCGTGACACCTCCAGCCGTATGTTCACACCATGTCTCTGGGACAGGCAACAGGGTGACCCAAAGCCTGGGCTCTGAGTTCAGGGTGGATCAGCCCTTACGTGAACTCACTGGGATGAGCCGAGAGGGGAGAGGTGCTGACATGGGCTTTGGGACCACGTGGCAGAGTGTGCCTCCCTGATCTAACAAACTAGTCCAACAATAAAGATGACAGACAGGGTAGAGAGGACAGAGGAGGGGGCTACTCGCTTACCCTCGAGCAGCCGAAGAAACAGACAAATCCAGGGGCCTACTTACCTAACAAACCGAGGTTCTGGGTGTCACCAACACCGTGGGCAGGGGTCCCTGTTCAGGCGCCAGGTGTTGCGGGTTCTCCTTGGGCCAGTTGTGAAGACCCTGACCTGGATCGGGTCCCCTGCCAATTGGGGGGGCAAGCGGCGCAGAGTCACGACACACAGACCCCGGGAGTCAGGTAGAAGCAAGCACTAGGCGAGGTGGCAGGCCTTATATTTCCCTTTTCTCCGCCCCCAAGTCTCTTTAGTCAGCGTATTGTTTTCTGATTGGTCCGCGCCACGCAGTCTGTCAGCAGTTACTGGGCTTGGGAGCAGGATACGGAGGTGTGGGCTCCTTTTGGCGGGCTATTTGTGGACCAAGAAGTGAAGTGAATTCTTACTGAATCCCAGGGCTCTGGGTTCATGCCATCTTTGGAGGCCTCCTGCTACACTTAATATTTTTATTAAAGACCTATAGTGATATCCTCTTTCATTCCTGATATTTGCCATTTCTGATTTCTCTTTTTTATATAATTTTTATTGAATTTGTGTATTCTATACGTAATATATTTTTATACCCCCTTCCCCCATCACCTTTGATACCTTCCCATAAGCCCTCTTACTGGAGTTCATACATTCTGTCATTTGAATTAAGGCCTATTATGTAAAGTTAATGTCCTGAGATGTCCCTCAGCGCAAGTTCATCCACTGGGATTTAGTCAACCTATCTAGAGTCTCTTCAAGAAGATCAGCTCTTCCTTACCTAGCAGTAGTCAGCTGCCAATAATTCTTCAACTAAGATTGGGGCTTGCTCTTCATTTCCACAGTTCTATGCTGGGTTTTTGTCTGCTTAAATTTGTATGGGTCTTGTGCTTGCTGACACCATTCCTGTAGGTTTGTATGAGAAGGGTCCCAGGAGCCTGTGGGACTATTTCCGTATGGTCATACACCTCCTCTCTGCCTCTTTCCATGTCGGGAGCCATACTTGCCATAAGCATTGGAAATTAGGAGAGTGTCACTTTAAGAGCTTCTGAGCTCTCTGCTTCAGAGGTCAGAGCTGACAGGCTGTACCTGGATGATAAATCAAGTCTTCTAGAAAGTTAGTTTCAGTTCAGCCTTTGTGCTGTCTCTATAGTAACCCTTTTGTTTCTGTTGGGAAGATTCACCTAGGTGACCCAAACTCTGGGTCGGATAAAAAGGACCTGTGGGACCCCTCAGTAGATTCTTCCTGATTTTTCCTTCTAGAGAGCGCTCTCCTCTCTGTACCTACTGTCCCTTTAATAAATCCCTTGCATAACTTCAGACTTATGCCTAAGTGTCTTTTTTGTTGAAGACCCAAGCCTGGTGGGCTTGGGGGGCGTTCGACAGTATGTGACCAAAATAATGTACAAGAGGACAAAGATGAATATATTTAAGCACTTAAAAATATTAAATACCATAGTAACAAGATTTCCAAACCACTGATGGGCGAGTTCATGTCCCACAACCAGAGCAACCCACTGGCGTGATGAAGAACAGGAATTTTTTGGATCAATAAGTAATGCAGTCTCCCTGTGTTTAAAAAAAATTAAAACAATAAAAGCATGGTCATTAAAGCAGTCATACAGAAGTGAAGACCATTCAGACAGTATGAATGAGTTTTATGTTAGGCTTTAGTAGTATGAAGAAAACATTCCTCAACATAAGCAGGATGGGAAAAGGTTTAGGAAGATTGCAGACTTCCCTAATACACTTCATAAAGCTGAAGACCAAAGACATGGCACAAATTTATCAGATTGCTGTCTGAAGTCTTTGAAAAACTTTTGTCTAAGTGATTAGGGAAGATTGTGCTAACCAGAGAAGACGTAAGGGAAGTGGCAGTGGAAGACACATTCCAAGGTTCCAAAAGGAGCACCAAACAGGCGATCCCAAACTTAGCCCATCTAAAAAGGTCATTGAAAGTAGAAGGCAAGAACCCATGTGTCTGTGTTGTAGTGACAGACACAGAAACACAGAATCAGGGGAGGTTCTTCAAGCTGGATTAATGACTAGGTAACAACTGCCGGGAAAGGCACTGAAAGGAGAACCACAGTTAACACAGCTAAAAATGCTACTAGTGCCAGATGTTCCCTTTTAGAATCTTCACCCTCAGATAGTGGCAGCAGAGAGGAAGTCCATCTGCATGCTTAAAATACACATGAAACATGGGGAAAGCAGAAAAATTTACTCCAGATCACAAAGCATGAACTAGTCAACTGTGAATAGGAGTGAAACTTTTCTGAAGCCTGTGTTTTCAAAGATAAAGTAGGGGAATGTGTCATTAACATACCTATAAGTAACAAGGCCCCAGTTCTCCATGGCACCTTCATAAAATAAATATAAACATTTATTGATATATGTGCATACTTTTTCCTCAAAAATCACAAATTTTAAATAAAAGTCATGACAATTCAGCAATAAAATGAAATTTACTTTACCAGCTGCAAAGTCAGCAATAGCAATGAGATCAATTTTAGGTAGAGGATAAGGAACATTGAAGTAGTCTTTATAAAAAGGCAAGGTTTTAGAAGCAACCTATAAAAGTACAAACAAATCATCTGATTAATATTTTATTATGAGTCATGTAGAAATCCACAAAGGAAACCTGTTGTATGCCAAAGTATCACAAGCTTCTAGAAACTGATCCCAGGGAGCCCTTCTTCCTTGGAAGACTCTGTTGGCCCCAAGCTTTGTATCACTGGCCAAATTGTAACCCATTTATAACCGGTATGAAAACAGAACTATATATTTTCATGTTAATTCCACAAATTCTGCATTTATATTCTCTCTCTAATCCAGATCCAAAGATTGAACCCATGACCTCATGCATTGCTGAACACACTCTGCCCCTAGCTACACTCCTTCA